GCAATTTATTATCCCAATCATTTGGGTTCTCTGCTACATAAGTACGTATCATTCTCATTAAGGTCCCATTAAATTTCTCTACTAGACCATTGGTCTGGGGATGATAAGAAGTGATGTGGGAAATTCCTCAGACTTGCAACAATCGCTTCATTATTTTGGAAGTAAAAGATGTTCCCAAACATGTTACTATTTCTGAAGCGAAACCCATTCAGCACATGTAGTTAACTAAGGCATCTGCCACAGTTGCGTTCTCTATATTTCTTAGGGATACTGCTTCATATCTATTTCCTTATCTAGTCGTTCTGGGTAAGGGTCCCACTAGATCCAGACCTAAGCGTTTGAAAGGGGTTGAGATCACTGTCAATGGGCATAGCTTAGCCATCTTCTTGTCATTTCCAGCACCTCATTTTTGGCAAGTATCACACCTTTGACAAGATTGTTTAACTTGTTTCCCCATTCCTGGCCAATAAAAGTTATGTGCCACTCTTTGCTTACTGCGAGAGATGCCCATGTGTGCCCCAAATACATCTTTGTGTGCTTTTTCCAAAATCTTAATATTTAACCGCTACAATTAGCTGTTTATGGGATACTTCTCCTCCTATGAGGAGTTATTAAAACCTCTCTATACAATCAATCTTTTTCCACACAATGCCTCTCTGGATGTTCAGGGGTCACTGGAATGGGATTCTCCTTAACATTTTGAAGCTATCAGTTAAGGAACTATCTTCTTTCTTTTCCTTTATAAAGGAGGAACTCTTAGGATTTCTCAACAGCACTAAATCAGCTGTCTCCCTCATTTCAGGTTGTTCCCCTAAAAGGAGTCTTTCATTGCTAGATTCAGTGCTTTCCTCAGTGGCGTCAATCTGCCTCCCTTGAGAGTGGGTTACCATTAAAGCACTCTGCACATGCTTAGATCTAAATGAATCAGACAAGGAGCTGGGATTTGATCTGACACTACTCCTTTCCATATACCAGACCACCCATGATACTTTACTGATATTTTGACCATATGTAATGCCACCAAATCAGAAATAATCCCTTTAACGGAGACCTTCTCGTGTTCTATCATGTCTTCCTCAGGGATTATATCTGGATGGCAAATAGTTTATTTATTTACAGTGGTGCCCCGCATAGCAATGATAATCCATGCCGAAAAAATCGTCGCTATACGGATTTGTCGCTATGCAGGGCAAAAAACCCCATCGGAACGCATTAAAACACATTTAATGCGTTCCTATGGGGAAAAAAACTCACCTTTAAGCAAAAATCCTCCATCCGGCCGCCATTTTCACTGCCCGGTAAGTGAGGAAAGGGCGCGAAAACACTGCAGGCGGCCATTTTTTCCAGCTGCCATTTTGGAACTGCCAATCAGCTGTTTTTAAAACATCGTTATGTGATAATCGGTAAGCGAAACGCTTACCGATCATCGCAAAGCATTTTGCCATATAAAACATCGCAGTGTGATTGCAAAAGCCATCGCTGTGCGGATTCGTCGTTAAACAAATCGCTCGTTATGCGGGGCACCACTGTATTCTGTTTATACCCTGCCTATCTGGTCATTTTGACCACTCTTATTTGTTAATCATTTGTTATTTGTTAGCATTAGTTATTTGTTAGCATTAATCTTTAAGGTTTAGATACTTCTGGCCATTTACAAAAATCAGTTCTCCTGAGCTTTCTAGTAAATTTTGATTGCACTTGATTAAAAAACATTGCATCACTTTAGTCTCATGAAGTTCTGGGCTCTCTGCCAAGTCCGTTCCCTTAGCAACAGGGCTGCCGGTGGCTTCAGCTGCCAAAGGCTGAAGGAGAAATACTTTTTTAGGCTGTTTGTAATTTTTATTCTTTTGTGTTTCACATTGGGCAAAAAATGTCCCAGTTTATCACAAGCATAACATTGTTTATTTGCTCTGTGTTCAGCATAAAGGGATCTATTAATTTTTCCCTCAGAACTATTTGATTTCAGGGGACTTTGCTCTGGGAATGAGGGTTTCATATTAAAATGACTTCCCTTATCTTGAGATAATTTTTACCAGATTGGGATTTCTTATTGTCGTCCCACACTTTCTACCAGTTTTTACCTCAGAAAATTGAGGATCTCTGATCCCACTAATAGAATGACCATATGCACATTTTTAGGATCCTTGTCCTTGACCAGACAACGCAGTTCCCCAGGCAAAATTGAATAACATTGTTCCAATCCAATCACATATTTCATTTGTTCCAAGGAACAACATTAAAATATTGAATTAAATGTGCTCCAAGCTCGGCAAAAGACTCCTCAGATTTCTTTGTAATAGTGCAAAATTTTCTTCTTCTAAGGTGTGAAATTTTCTTCTTCTAAGGTGCTCTGAATTAATCCCAAATCTGTAATGCACCATCTCTCTATAAGCCTCAAAATCTCTAGCTTGTTCAAGAGGCATCTGTGAATAGATCTCAGACAAAACTCCCGTGTGACCTTAAAATTATCATCCTCTCATCATCTTTAACCCTGAAATCCAACAAGCTCTCTCAAAGAAATTAAGAAAGATTCAGGACAATCTCCATTCCAATATTGGGGAAATTTCTTTAGGTCGGGTTTTGAGGTATTCACCACACTGGAATTATTATTATTATTATTATTTTGAGCAGCTAATTCTCATTGAAATTTCTTTAGGTCGATTTTTGAGGGATTTACCACACTGGAATTATTATTTTGAGCAGCTAATTCCAATTTCTTCATCTCAATCTGGAACTGCATTTCTCTTTCTCTTTGCTCGTATTCCCCTTACCTGTTTTCTTGCTCAAATTCCCGAAGGAAGGCTCCCCGGCCCTCCTCCCGAGCGCACGCCCGCTTTTTCCACCGGCTGATCGGCCGGCACTCAACCAGGAGGGCAGGGGAAGGCTCCCTGGCTCTCCTCCCGAGCGCCCGCCCACTTTTTCGGCCGGCTGACCGGCCAGCGCTTGGCCAGGAAGGCAGGGGAAGGCTCCCCCGCCCTCCTCCCAAGCGCACGCCAGCTTTTTCCCCCAGTTGACCGGTGGGAGGGGCCTATGGGGAAAAATCGCTTTGCGATTTTTCCCCATAGGGAACATCGCAATGCAATTGCAAAAGCGATCGCAAAATCTTCTTTGCTATGTGGATTCGTCACTTTTGCTATGTGGAAGTTGAGTCATGGCAACTGGACTTATTTCTTGTTAGGCTGAAATGTTTCACTACTCATCCAGGTAGCTTCTTCAGTCTGAGGAGAATTGGTAGGGGACCCCTGATACATCTTCCACATTGGTTTCACCTCCCCCTGGTCTGAATAGGCTCGTTAGAAGAGCAAAGGACTGGGGGGGGTGAATGAAAATCCCACTTCCGTAGTCTTCTCAACTCATTGTCATGGGTCATTGACAGTCATCAACAGTGATCTTTCTTGTTTGTATACCTAATCCTTCTGTGGGCCGATAAAAGGGCAGCATAATACATAGGAGACAGATTGTATTTAAGGCCTCCATTCCTGCTGAGTGAGGGATTTTCTATATGCACATGTATGGCCTCCCTGACCTCTCAAACCAACTATCTTGGTCCAAAATGAGTAAGTCTTGGTCATAAAATGGGTGTCCTTTGTCCTTCAAATGAAGGAACACTGCTGACTGTGGTCCTGAGCCCTTGCCCCTCCACATACCTGAACCAATTGGTCTGAGTCATCCCCTGGAAGGTGCTTAGTACCTTCTTTTCCACTTCTTCCATGTATAAATTAGTAACAATGGGCGACACTGGGGGGAACCCATGGCAGAGCCATGTTTCTGTCTGTAAAAGTCTCCTCTGTAGGTGAAGTAAGTGGTGCTCAGGCACAGGTTCAAGAGCAGGGATATCTGGTCTGGGTTGAGGCTCCTTCTGGTGGAGAACGTGTTGTCCTGTTCCAGCCTCCTTTTTACAGTTGTTAGGGCATTGGGGGTGGGAATGCTTTGGATCCAAACTTCTCTGAGTTGTGAATGTGGTGGTCTGAGTGTCCAACCAATGGTGCTAAGACGGTGGCCAGATATTTAGCAATGTTGTATGTTACCGGGTTTATGCTGCTGACAATGGGTCTGGGTATGCATGTCCTTTCTTGTGTATCTTGGGAAGTCCATAAAGGCGGGGGCGGGGGGCTCTCCAGGTCACCCTGTCAATGGCATGGTCCTTTTCCAAGTGTTTCAAGCATTCTATCGCTTTTCTTCTGTAAATGTTGTTGGGCTCCCTCTTCAGTTTTTTCTATGTGTGTTGGTCTTCCAAAAGTGAGCTTACTTTTCTATGGTAATCTGTAGTGTTGAGGATGACGGTGCATCTTCCTTTGTCCCCTGGCAATATGGTGATGGTCTCATCCCTACTGAGGGATGTCAGAGCATTTCTTCCCTGTCTGGTGAAGTTGGAAGGTGGCGGTTGAGTGCTGGAAAGTGTTACAGAAACTTTCATCTGGAGTTGTTCAGTTTTTCTACGGATTACCATGGAGAAGTTAGCTCATGTTTTGAAGATCACCACACATAGTCAGGACATGCTGGCCAAACTGGGTAAACAGCTCTTGCATGGTTTCTGAATACTTGACCATGGACACTGCACTCGAGAGCATTGCCACTAGGCCTCTAAGTCCCCCAATGCTGATTGAGCTCGCTTGCACTCAGCCCCAAAGCAGAAACAGGAGGAAGCCCACAGGAGGAAGGACTGGGAAGCACAGAACACCTGTTCGGCTGATAAATGAATTAGCATAAACCATCAAACTGGTGGGCCCATCTCTAGTTGACAGTCTATATAGGATTCATGACCCAGATCCTTCTTTTCTACTAAAGCACCCACCTCCTAATACTATCTTCGTGGAAGCTACCCAGTCCCACTCTTGCCAATGGCAGGTGCTTACACCTTCAAACCAGGACAATCAACAAATAGACACTATTGGCAGGCAATTGTACACCTTGGGAGCCCTCAGTGCATTGCAAATTACATGATAGATAAAAGTGGTAATGAAACTTTTGTTTAACAGTAATTTTCTTTTTTGTATCAGAAATAGAAAGTATTAAGTTTGCAAAGCAACAACAAAAAGCAGAGGAAAAGCGAAAATCTACCCCAGTTACTGGAGATATGCAACCACTGATGGATGCTCTGCCTGTACTCTCAGACCTGGTAACAGTCAGCAAGTTCAGCAAGCAGAGTAAGATGTAAGTATATTGTGCAGTGTGAATTTTCCCATAGTTGATAAAGGTCACAGTAAACAGGGTGACTTTCAAGTTGGATTCCTTACTTGTAAAGAAGACAAGTAGCTTTCCTTATTCCTTTATATTAATCAGGATTATGCACACAGCTGTTCACTCTAGCGCAAACCTGAAAGGACACTTCTGTCCCACTTTCTCGAATCCTGCTTTTGTGTGAAAGGAAAATAAATGTTCAACACTTATAGTTGACTAAATATGACAGTCCTGAGATTCCTACACAGACCTGTTTCTGACTTCTTGCTTTTTTGAAGAGTCATTACTGTGACAACCCCAGACCTACTGGAGTGTGCCACACTCTAATTATGCTGCCACCAACCATTCCCTATAAGGAGTCACACAGACCAGGAATGGATTTTTAACAAACAAAAGAACAAGGTTTATTTAAATAACAAACAGGGTAAATAAAATGATCACGTAAATAAGATACTGTAACGTGGCTTAGTCTCAATCATACATACAACGGTTTGGTTCACACAGAACACGTTAAAGTGAAGCACAGACCCTGAACCTATCAGTTCTGGCTACCTATAAAGAAACCTGAACCTATCAGGTATGTACTAACTGACACACAGACTCCCACTCCAGCTTCTTCTTCCCAGCTGCTCCTTCTGCTTCTCCTAACCTCTCCACACAAACTCCACATATATATACAGTACAGCCCCACCTCCTGATGTCCCGCCTTCCACTCCCCATAGGATGGAACTTTCCCTCCAAACCCATGACAGACAGGTAACATCAGTGCTGTATGTAACAATTACAAACTCCTAAAGTCAAGGAAAAAGTATATGTGATGTTAAATTTGCAATTGTGGTTTTAGCAGTGTGCAGCAGGCTAGTAAAGTAAAGTCATAACTATCAATTAGAAATAGTATCCTGGAAAACTTATGGTAAGGTAAAAGGAAAAGCTAATGTTTATTTTCCCAACTATTTTATATCCATGACACTACAGAAAACTAATATATATATTGTGCCAAGAACCTCAATTTCTGCTTAGGCCTGTAGAAATGCACTGAACTTGTTTTATGTAGCCAATTTCTGCTGTCTCTCTCAAGTTTTGCTTTATAATTTTAGATGGAGACTCGAGAGGATAGAAGTTGGCTCCAGAAACAAGTTCCAGTACATCTCCAAGGGCCTGAATAGAGATTAAGGATACTCAGCACTTACATTAATAACCTAGTTTTCTGTAGTATTTTATGGGTATAAAATAGCTGTCTCTCTTGACAGACTCTTGATCTCTGTGCCAGAAACATCTCTTAGTGACAGCCTACCTGGTATATCACTTATCCTGACTAATTATCAATTTAGTCATTCTATTCCTGTGTTAATAAACTACAACTTACGAACGTCCTGACATACGACCATTTCAAGTTACGACCAGCTCTGGCCACAAAATTTTGCTTTGACTTCGAGTTATGAACAGAAAAAGGCAGGGGAAAAAGGCGGGGAAATCAAATTGCTAACTGTTGGTAGCTCCTTCACCCCAACGGTTAGAGTGAGTGCGATTGGAGGAGGCATTGGATTGCCTGGTTAAGGTAAGGTGCTGCTTTCTGCTTTTTATAAGCTGTTCTGGATGCGTTTTGCAGCGTGGTTTTGGGCTGGGTGGTGGGATTATGTTTCTATGCTGTGATGGGTCTTGCAGGGTTTCTTTGTTTTGGGGTGTTTTTTCCCATTTCCGATGGGTCTTGGGGGTTTTGTTTGCTTTTTGGGTTCCCCCCCCCATTTCTGATGTGTCTTGTGGGGTTTGCTTGTTTTTTTGCTTTGCTTTTTTGCATTTCTGAAGGGTCTTGCACAATTTGTTTGCTTCCTCCCCCCTTCAGCCGGAATGGATTAAACGTGTTTCCAATGGGTCTTGTAGTGGTTTTGGGTTTTTTGGGGTGATTTTTTTCCTTCGGCTGGAACGGATTAATTGCATTTCAATGCATCCTGTGGGAAAAGGTGCTTTGACTTATGACCATTTTGAGTTACAACCAGAGTTTCAGAACCAATTAAGTTCATAAGTCGAGGCACCACTATATTGTCACTTTGTTGAACTGTATCCTCAGCTAAACATGACTCTCACCACCATGTTGCCAAAAACAGAGGACTTGTATTTGAAAAAGTGGTTCTTCATCATGGTCTCTATGATTCATACAGATGAGTTTTGATCCTGCGCTAAACAGTCCACAGAAGGTTCCAGATCCAACACCCTCTAAACCAGTGGTTCTTAACCTTTTTGAAAGAAACGCCCCCTTGAGCCATTGAGGAAGTTATCATCGCCCCCCTCTTATTTCTTATTAGATCTTATTTATTTGTTTGTTTGTTTGTTTGTTTGTTTATTTAAGACACTTAAATCCAATGACCCCTGAAAACAAAATTCAATTCCAAGAAAATGAAATGCCCCCCAAAAGTAACATTTAATGATTTAGTTGCAAGCGAATTTTAAGACTCAAAAAGAAATATAAAAAGGGCATAAAATGCAGGAACTAAAAATTTCAAGACGAAAACTCTGAAACTAAATTAAGATAGGAGGAGAATATATACTCATGCACATTGTAAAAAGGCTGCACAGGTTTGGCTTGCTCCAACGCCCCTTACCGCCCCCCTTCTGCTCCAGCGCCCCCACGCTGCCCCTTTTCGTTCTACCCCCCCCCCGAAAAATGAAATCGCCCCCTGGGGGGCCTTATCGCCCAGGGTAAGAACCACTGCTCTAAACCTTTCTTCCCCACATGTACTGTGCATGCCCAGCCCTCTCTCCCCAGTCCTTGTTTGTCTGCTATGGCAGCAACATCTATGATGTGCAGCAACATCTATGATGTGCTTAAGACTGCAAATAAATGTTTGCAAATAGCCTCCTTAATATTTTACTCTCCTTTTTCCTTCGTTGTTTCCTTATTATTATTATTTATCTTTAAACATGATAGGTAGTATATCTTCATAATCTTCTCTCCTCCCCAGCCCCTCTCTTTTTACAACAGTTTTTTCTGTGATTGTTTCTGCTTTGTTTGTGGTCTCAGCAGCATTAAGGAATAATTGTTCTTACTGTGGAACAAAAATTACTCAGGCTGATGGCTATGATCACCATAAATAAATACAAAATAGAAAATAATGGTAGTTTCATACATGAAAACTTTTTTTGTTTATTTTGCAACAATGCACCATGAAAAAATGATTTCATTTAAGTAACAGACAAATATGCAATATACTATTGATTTGTATTATTCAAAGTCTACAGTGGGGTCTCGACTTAAGAACGGCCCGAGATACGAACTTTTCGACTTACAAACTGCTCTGAGGGGAAAATATTTCCTCGACCTGCAAACTCTATTTCGAGTTACGAAAGGGAGGGAAATGCGCGGGAAAAAACCTTCCACAAAAGCCCTTCCCTTTGCTTTCTGTTCCCGGAGGTGCAGCGTCTGACCCTGCCTGCTAATTGATTACTCATGGTCGGTTCTGGGGGGAAGGCACAGAGCTTTTCTTTCCAGCCGCTTCCCGTTCTCCCCCCACACACACACACACACACCTCCACCACCACAGTTTTACCCAGGCAGAAGCGTCCAGAGGAGGAGGCTGGCGCCGGATGCACCCCTTCGCTGCGCTTGACTCACCCCTCCCCCTAGAAGCAGAGCCCAGGAGGCGAGTGGTCGCCACGCACACCCTGGCCCGTCCAGCCGCCGCTTCTCCGCTTCTCTGTGCTCGGGCAGGCTCTCCCCGCACAGCCACACCCCCATGGCAAGGAGGAGGGGGCAGCAGGGGGAGAGTAGCTGCCCCGAGGGGCTAGCCAGCAAGCAGGGAGCCAAT